TGAACAAAAAGTCCATTGGAGGAAACTGGGAATTTGAAGTATAATGGCTTTCCATTGGCTGAACTGTGACACTCTCTCACTGGCTGAGCTGTTGCCAAGCAAGGAGAAAATCTTTCTTCCTTCTCCTGGCAGTAGTAAAATAGTGTCAATTCCTGTTGGAGGTGCAAGATACTTTTTTTCTGCAGGATCTATATTGATGTCGGGTGGTATGGGATTCAGTCCTTAGTGTTTCCTCCTTTTGATACCTGTATCAGTTGCTTCAAAAGAAACTGTCTTGGCTTGGATTATTCCAAGAACAAAATATGGTTGGAACAAGATGGGGTAGAGTGATAGGAGATAAAACTATAGGGGTAAGCAAAGGACAGTTTGGTAGAGCCTTGGGGTCAAGGGTCAGGAGCAGTGGGAAGCCACTGGGTGTGTTTAGCAAGGGAGGGACTTCGTATTATTTACTCTTTTTTTTTTTAATTCCTCTGGCACCTTAGTGAATAGACTGGAGAGGGACAAGAATAGAAACAGAAAGACCGGGTAAGGGGCTGACACAGGCACCCAGGCAAGAAATAATGGTGGTAGGTGGTAGACGGTGGCAGGTACATAGATGATTTGGGATATATTTGGAAGTCTACCTGATAGACTGCTTATGGGTTGGCTTAATGATGGAAAGAAGAATCAAGAATGATGTAGGAAAGTTTTTTATTTGTTTGTTTTTCAGCCTAAGTCATTTCTAATTTGGGGCCACTATTGCTAATGCTTTGGTGAACTTTTTATGCAACTTAGAGCACATCTCTGATTATTTCCTTAGCATGCATTCCTGACAATAGAATTAACTACATTAAGTACTAAGCCTCTTTTTAAACATTTGGATACATATTACTCAGTTGCCCCCAGACAGTTGTATTAATTAGCATTCCCACTATTTTGATGATATTTCTCCATGTTACTCATTGCTGGAGTTAGTCTCCTTTTTCTTTTAGATTTAGAAAAGCATCATCCCCATAGCATTTGTGAACTAACTGAACCCAAATTCAGTTTCTTATTGTTACCCCATTCTTCACTGGCTGTTGGCTGGGGCCTCTCAGTGCCTTAAGATCTTGCATTTCCTCTCCCATGGCCACCTCCATGTTCAAAGCCAACAGCAGTGTGTCGAGTTCTTCTCATGCTTCAAATCTTTTCTCCTACCTTCTCTTCTGCCACCAGTGAGGGAAAATTCTCTGCTTTTAAAGGTCCATGTGATTAGATTAACCCACCCAGATAACCCCCCCTTTTTTGTTCACCTGCCATAAAACAAAGCAGTTGGAGGAGTGATCTCATCACACTCACAGCTTCTGGGGAAAGGAGGTATGGAATCTTGAGGAGGGACCATTTATGCCAAATGCAAAGTACATTTCCTCTCCCCCAGAGTTCCTGAGAGTCTTGTGCCATTACTGGATCAGCTTAACCTAAAATCTTATCTATATACCTTAAAAGACCCAAATTTTACCTTCTGAATCATCTGAATCAGGTGCAGCTGAGGAAGGTGAATGAAAGGACTTAAGTATACTGGTAAAGTTTTTACTTTCTACTTGAAATGGTAAAATATTGTTTCTCAATAGACTGTGAAAAGTTACATATGTTTATTGTGATCCCTCAAGCAACCACTGAAAAAACTATACAAAGAGATCTAGTCAAAAACACTAAAGTTGAATTTAAAAAGGAAAAACAGAGAAAAGAAAAAGAAAAAAAGTTGGAAAACAGTAATTAAATGGTAAATCTGAATCTAAACATATCACATTAAATGTAAATGGTCTCAATACATCAGTTAAAAGAGCATGGGTTGGTTTTGAAGTTGGGAAACCTAGTATGAATTCACTCTTGGCGACTTACTACTTATCTGGCCTTGTATAAGAACACTTGCTTCTCTGAGCCTCAGTTTCTTCATTTGTAAAATGGGAATAAAAATCAAATGTACTCAGAGAGCTGCTGCAAAGATGAAATTAGGTAATGTATACAAGGAGCTCAGCACATCCATCTGTTTAAAAAGTAGAGATATTTGCTCATATATACAGAGTATCTTTGGAAGAATATACAAGACACTGATGTCACTAGTTGTTTGTGGGAAGAACTGGTAGGTCGGAGGACAGGACTGAGAGAGAGATTTTTTTATTATTATTACAGGTCCACAATCTCTTATCTACATCTAAAATCAAAAGAGCTCTGAAAACCAAGTGTTGTTGGTTGTTTTGTTTTGTTTTTTCATAAGATTGGTGCCAAACCTTGTCTGGTAGCAAAACCTGACCTGAAGTTACATGAAGCTCCTTATATATTGATCGTGTGTGAATTCTCATTCATTCTGCAGAAGTGTTAGGGTTACAGGGTGCTACACAGCATTTGCTAGGTGTACTCATCTGACCTTTCTGAAATACGAAAAATTCTGAATTCCAAAACACATCCAGCCTAAGATTATGGATCTATGTATCCTTTGAATTTTGAGTTCAATCTGTGTATTCTCTTGAATTTTGAAACTGGTAAAAGCATTACCTATTCAGAAATTGTTAAAACTAAATTTTAAAAATTGTTAAAACAGAAATTTTAAAAACTAAATTTAGCGTGGTGCCTGACACAAAGCAAGCTGTCGGTAAATACCGGCAGCTGCTGTTAATCCATTCTTCCAGGCCTTTCCTGTCAACAAATCTGTTCATGTCCAATACTACATTTCACCATCACAGCAGCCCCTGCGAGTGTTACTACTTAGATTTTATATCTTAAAAGACTGAGGTGCAAAGGTTTTGTGACAGACCCCTGCCAACCAGCTAGACAGTCCCCCACCCAGAGTCCAGTGCCCATCTCTGATTCCCAGTCCTGAGGCCTTTCCAGTTCCCCAGACCACCTCAGCCATTAGGGTGGCATCAGCTGGATTTGTGTGCCCAAGAGTAGTGTGTTGTTTTTATCTAAGAGGAGAGGAGAGCACGTAAGGAGGAAATCATGTGTGGTCAAGATCACCCCCAAATCCCTTAGAGGGGCCTTTTTGAGGTTGGGCCGTGCTGTCCAGTGGGCCCAGCTAGGCAGTTGTGCCTACAGAGTTTAGCATACAGCACTTTTCTTCAGTTGATTACCAGATGAAGTTTTAGGGGCTTGATTTTAGAGACCATGTGAAAAATTAGCTTTTATTTTCAATCTCTAGAGCTTCAGCACATCCAGGACTGAGAATGTTTTATAACAGGCTCTGGGCATATACAGAACGAGCTCACAGAAGTGTGTGTGTGTTGCAGTGAGACCGTGTTGAGTGTGAGCCTAAAGGATAAGCCGTGACAATTTCAAGTACAGTTTCAAATTGTTGGGGTGGGCCTGGCAGCTCCCTTTCTATCCTCCATGGTTCGGTGTTTTTTCTCTCCTCCCCACGCTCTGTGGCCCAGGAGAGAGAGACAGAGATGGCTCTGTGTTTCAGGAGCCAGCAAGGCTCTGCTCTCGAGGGCATTGTGATAGCCACTGTAAGCACTCTGTTTGCTGCCCTCTGGCACCACCCGGGCTGTCCAGTGAGGCAGGTTATTGGGAGGCCACCAGAAACTTTGATTGCCAGCTCCATGAACCATGGCTTGGGGGCAGTAACCTAAGTCAGGAAAAATTGCTTCCCTTGGAAACCACGTCCACCTAAATGCCAACAGCCTGTTCAGCCCAGTAGGTAGAACTTAGTGAAGAAGCACCTACTTTTGGATTTTTTCCCAGTTCTTTAATTAATGACTTCTTACCTGTAAGCTTAGATTTGCTGCTTTTTAGAAGGCTTTCCCAAGGTCTGGCAGGAACCCGCCATGCCCCAGAACTGTCAGGTTTGTATTGCTCACCAGGGCTCCAAGCAGATTCCAAAGCACATTTTTTTCAAATACCAAACCTTTTTTGTTTTGTTATATCCATAACCATATCCTTTATAGAAGAAAACAGGAAAGTATAAAGAAGAAACTCCTCCCAGGTGTAACTGTCACTGTTTATAGTTTCAGTTAATGCATCTTTCTAGTTTTATTTATACACACATACACGCATTTTTCACACTTGATTTCCTAGGCTATTGATAATCCCCTTTTCTCCCACAGTTAACACTAGAGCAGAAGCATTTTTGCACATCATTTTAAAACAGTCTAAAAGAATGCTGTTTCCATGGCTTCATTACCATGATCTCCCTAACTGGTCCCAATTTAGGGCCAATATAGTTCCCTTAGTTAAAGTCTTTATGGTGATATTTTAATTTGAATTATGTATTCTGTCTTTAAGATGGATACCTAGACAGAAAATTATCAAATCAAAGAATGTGAAGATACAGAAGGCTGTTGAAAGACATACATTTTGTGTGTATATATTAGTATAGGCTTGATCCACAAAGTATGCGCTCAGTTATGCTCCGGCTCCTGCAGTCTCAGTGTGGGCAAAACTGGTTCTCCGTGGGGATGAAAAAAATCCTAGAAGTTACAATAGTTTGTGGCCATCCAATGGGCCACAGTACATAAAAAGATGTACAATGTCTGTGATATTAAAATTTCATGCAGGGACCACAATAAAAAAAAGGTTGAGAGCACAATTCTAGTTGTATGTGAGCACCCATCTCACTCCACCCTTGGAAACTTTCCAATCTGAGCTTTTGGGTTTTGGTTTTAGAATAGTATTTTTCTGGTCTAAGTATTTTTGGTCATTTATACAAAGTTTAGGAACTTGAGAAAGATATGAATAAAATAAAATTTATCTGTTATTGTTCATATATTTTATCTTTCTACACTGTTGGGAGTCTCCCATGTTTCTAGCTTTGTGTCCGGCTCTTTTCACGTAATTGCCATTATAATATTTTCAGTGTTAGTCTGTGCCAAGGACCCCTTGTGTTACGGAAATATCCCTTGTCTTTCAGTCTCATGCAGGGGCTTCCCCTGTCCTCCACACCTGGGAGAACATTTGTGTCCCCACAGGCATCAGGTTTGGACCTCTGAGAGCCCAGGCGCCTGGCTGCTCTGGGACTTTCAGTAATTGTCCCTTGTTTGTTTCAGGTGTGATCCTCTGGGCCCATTTGCTGTCGGGGGAGAGGACCTAGACCCCTTTGGGTGAGTACTGCTGAGGAGATGGCAGCAACACGACTCGCTCTCATGGCTTTGCAGCCCCAGCTCATCTTCTAATTTTAGAGCTTTTAGTCAGTCTTCCTTTGGGGTGAGGGAGGCAGTTGTTGCTGAGTGGCTGAGAAATCATGGCTGCTGTTCAGCGCTGCCGTGCCCGGAGCGGTACAGGCAGGCTTTGGGTATTGGGG